CTTATTTTTCCAGGCATTGAAAGGGTCACTGAGTTTTCCAAGCCACCCAAAAGGCTGTTTGAACTGCAAGCTTTATATTTTCAGAACTAGTAGCGGGTACTTTATTTTCCTCAACATACCTTTTCTTGGAGGTTTTTGATATTTATCAATATTTCCTCGATACGGCATAATTTTTAAGCAATATACAAGAAAAGCTTGGGATTAGAAATAGTATGCTTAGGGAGATTCACATCGTAATATTGTTATCAACATTGTGTACTGTGATTTGAATGAGAGAAGCCTAAAACAGAGAAGAGTGAAGAAGTTGCGAGCTACGTCAGTGGCAAGAAAGAACGCTACCGTAAAAAAGCAGCTGATCAAAGTACCACAAGTCCACGAGTAAACAGTTCCAGGGAAGTATTTTCAGCATTTTCGAACAAAGAATATCCTATTCCTTTGGCGTGCCTGGAAATGCTTTTGACGTAACGTCACGTTTGGCTAAGTTTGCTTTTGAGCAGATTCATAGCAGAATAGTTGCACAGCACCAAATAAATTTTACATCAGGCGAGCAGTTGCCTCCAGGTTGAATTCAGGATGCTTTGTTGTCACAGTTGCTTTACGGTGACATCGCTGCCATAAAGCAAATATGACGATCGGCTTCCAAGCCCTGTTTCAATTTATTTTGCTCTTTGCTAGCTCATCATCAGCTCTGGTTTATCGTTCGTAACATCACTGGTTGGAAGAAATTCGGTAGGGACGTTATTCTTGTTGAGCTGTTTAAAAACGAACTGCTAGGTATTCATGTCTTCAAACCAATTCTGGGAAACGAAGGCCATCAAGAATTTTGCTGGCAGACGAGCACCACTGCTAGAAACCATTATCATGGAGGACACAGGCCAGTCATTTTCATAGTTGGACCCTTGTACCTCTCATAAAAAGCAAAATGAAGGCGTGGTAAAAATTCTGAGTTATCTTGAGCTTCAGCATGTGATGAATAGCTGGACACTGCAACTAAATCTTTAATGATTCTCGTTTTTCGCTCGTTCCCTACACTGGTTTTCACTGCCTAATTTAAATATACTGCCCGAAACAAATGCTTCCAGAATCGTCTCAACACTCCCAATACTCTCAGTATTCCTGTCTTGTCAGTAATATTATTACGGTGCTATTCTACATTATTACTGCTGCCATTATTATCATTGTTACTATTGTTGTTGTTGTTGTTGTTGTTGTTGTTGTTATTATTATTATTATTATTATTATTATT